AATAGTTGAAAACAAATTTGATTGGTTAATGTTTTAGAGAAAAAAAATATATATGAAGTGATGGATTTAGGAAAGTGACAGTATTTGTTTCCTATTATGGGAGGTCGAATATTGAAGAACGTAAAAGCCATGCATAGTGGTTTTGTTGCACATGTTTTGAAAGTTGTTCTTTCCTTAGCTTGATATATACGAATTAGTCTTTATTTAGTTATTTCATGCCACACGTATAATAATTAGCATGCAAAATATCTATATCATTGGTTGAACACAACAAATTAATCACACCCACAATCAAATTTGATTATAAGATATTAATTGATAGTGAAAAATATGTGTGTGTCAAAAAAATTAAATCATAAAAGATTAATCGAACGGTTATTCATCATTGAAAATTACATCATAGTGTTTCAAACTAATATACATAGGATTAAACTTGAGTTTTTAATTTATATACAAGCAAATAAAAGTATAATATCTCTTTAGTTAAGATTGTGTAAGACAATAATTACTTACCTCTTGTGAATCAAAGTTAAATAATGTTATGTATATTAGCATCCAATGAAAGGATTTCCAAACCTCCCAAGAACTCACATCATAATACTTCTTAATACCTAATAATACTTATGATATCTTTAATTAATTTAAATAAAAGAGATATTAAATCAAATATACACATATTTACAGAGAACTTAATTAGTACTAATTTACTTAGTCTTCTCATACTGATATTTGTAGATTTTGAAAATATTTTGATTTCAATAAGATTATTCCTAATATTGTAAAAATCATAAATTTTTAAATATATGAAAGTTTATTTTGTAATACTCGATTCTGGAATTTGGTCCGGAATTAATTTTAAAATTTAAAATATATAGAAAAATATAATTTTAAAATTTATAAATTTTTATTTAATGTGAAATTATGAAAAAATAGGTTGATGATGAAATTCAAAATAATTTTAGAAAAAAAAAAGTGAAAATTTGGGTTCGAAATGTATTTTTAAAATAAAAATCAGAAACTACTGGCCAAAACACAATTTAAAAAAATTACGCCACATAGGACTGCCTAGTCAACAGCCCCGACGAACCGAAGCGCGTCGCGTGGCAAGGCACACTGACTTAGTGCCACGTGGGAGGCCACGCTGGCAATCTGTGTGCCCGCGATCGGACAACCCGAATGTAATCTTGCCTGCGTGGACGGTTCGAATCAATTCTCTCCTTAGGCGTGATCAGACGGTCGCGATTAAATACAATAAACGGTTCATATTCGTTTTATCTTTAAACGTAATCGTACGGTCGAGATCAAATCGCGATAAACAGTCCATATTTATTTTTTCTTTAAATGCGATCGGACGGTCGAGATCAAATGCGATGAACGGCCCATATTTAAGGGAGACGGGTATAAATATCTTGCATCACACCAAATCCAAACCTAACCGCCAGCCTCTCGTCGGAAAAGAAGAACTAGTCGCCGGAGAAGGGAGCCGTCCGCCACCTGCCGCCTCGCCGGAGCCACCTCCGATCGTCAAAAAAGGTAAAACATTCTTCTATCCGTTCGGAATTTGATTTCGAACACCCTCATGACCAAATCAGAGTAAAAAGAACGACGGATCAGACGAAAACTTCGGGTAAAGCCTGGCGAAGCTGTCGCAGGCAAAATTCGAAATCAGTTCCAATGAACCCCTTTCCGTTTCACGTTTCATGCGATTTTTCCACTATTATGTTCATCATTCTATTTTCTACATGCTGATTGAAAAAAAATGTTCAACCGCGAAGGTGAGTCAACGGAGCCGCCGCACCGAAAAATGTTGCCGCCGGTAATTTTTTTTATTTTTTGACTTTTTTTCGATCAACTGAGACCTCCTAACATGTTTTATCGCAGGGATGTGTATAAAACTGACCGAAACCGGTCAAAACTGGCTGAAAACTGTTAGGCCGAGGCAAACCGTTGTCGCGAGCATCGGTGCCGTCGCGGGAGCACAGCAGTGCTGACGTGTCGGAATTTTGAAATTAGCCGAAAAAGATTTTTAACACCGATTTTGAGTTTTTTGGGATATTTTTTAGGTATATGAAACGTGTTTTAATCTTCGCATAAAAATTCAGAAAACCCGGAGACCGCTAGTAGGTGCAGTAGAAAGTTCAGTATTTCGGATATCGATTCTGGTTAAAATTCTTCAACTTATTTTCTGTTATGGAATTGAACTTTAATTATCAATAATATGGTATTTTGCGTAATTTAAAACTTTTCGAGAATTAATTATAGGTTACTAATGGAGACAAAACCGGTTATTTATTATCGTTTGTCCTATTTAACCGATTGTTTGATTTTATTACTTTAAATGCATGATAATATACTGAAATTAGTAAAATGATTCAATTGTGTTTCTTTGATGTGTGTATTATTTGTCTTGTGTTGATTTATGATTAAATTGTGAAACTGAAAATTAAATGTAAATAAAAAATTGATTGGTTAAGTGAATGAATGAATGGTAGTCTTACTAGATATCTTGAGAGATGGTGGACAGACCAGGTACATAGAAAACCCTACCATGAATGTCGCCTCATATCGGACGGGGTATCGAAGATTAGTATTTTTGGCGCTCATACTGAACGGGGTATGGAGACGACTCGTTTCACCCTCATACCGGACGGAATATTGAAAGATAGTATTCTTGGCGCTCATATCAGATGAGGTATGAGATGGCTGGTTAGTTGACAATGTTAAATGATAGTTCATGCATAGTGGAATATTCTTATGGGCCCTCAAGGATACTAACAAGCTAATAAAGAGGGAAAGTTACTGTTCTTGCTCACTTGAATATAAGATTGGAATGTTATTTAAGTTATTATCTATATAGATCAATTTTAAAAATTTTACAACGGCAAATATATGCAATAAATAGTTTTCTTTATGATAAATGAATTTACTTAAATCAAGAGCTCCATTGGTTGTTTTTATGATTTTTACCAACTTTTATTTTCTGTATCGGTGAGTAGTTTGATATTCTTACTAGATTAGTATAGCTCACCTTTTCATTAATTATTTAAGATCAAGAGGATCAAGATCTAGATCCCGATAAATAAGAGAGTTGTGAATAAGTTCACCACCCGAACTCCTTTCAAAAACTAGTGAAGGTCGTCCTCGAATACTTAGTTACTCGCTTTTAGTTCATTTCTTTGATTTTCGTTTGTTATTTTAGAAGAGACATTCATGTAACTATATTGAGCATTCTAAATTATTGCATATAAAATGTAAACCCTAAACTCTATTATTTCAATTCCGCACTTAATTTATAACTTTATTCCCTTTTAAGTTACAGGCTGTTACATATTTAATATTAGATGACGAGATGTTAATAGTGCATTTTTTTTCTTTTATTTAATAAATAGCTTATTTTACATTTTTAAAAAAATATTTGAATATAGAATTATATATGAAAGTTTTTATAGGTTCGGAACCCTCAACCACCTCCATAATAGGAGATGAAGTAATCTTATAGCTTTGGAACGATAACCCAAATCAAGATTGCTAATTAAAATTTCATTTAGACATGCAATTACAATTTGATGCTTCTAGGAAAAAATAGCATTTAATATGAAGACTTAATATCACTTAATAATCTTATTTATAAAATATATATGTATACATATGTAAATATATATGTTAATGTTGATATTATGTTATATATGTACTTGTTACATGTTTTCTTCTTATTAGTATCCTATGTACTAGTGTAAGGGTGCTGTATACGATATTCATATAAAAAAAGGGTGTATATGTAAAATATTGATAATATCATAGATATTATACTGTATGAAATCATGAAAAACACATATATATTTTGAACTTATATTAAAATCAAAATTTTGAATAATTAAGAATTAAAGAATTGCATATGGGATTTCCTTTTGAACATAAATTACATATATGATCCTTAATTAACTTGAATATGTGTGATTATCATCTAGGTATGATTTAACCAGGTAAATTAATCACTACTAATTAAGTTATAGTGATTGTTGATTTATATAGGCTGTGATGAGCGAGAAGCTTTTTTTTTTTTTTGGAGAAGATAATATGAACATAGATTAGTTAATTAAGTTAATCAATTACTACTTTAGGAGAAGATTAAAATCTTGGCAAATTGTATATTTATGGAAATTCCAAATCAATAAAACGTGATAATTAATAAGTATATATATATATATATATATATATTGGCTGCTGGTGATGATCATTTGATCTAAAATTAATTTGGAATATGTTTTGAAAAAGTTAATAAAATATGATGAACAACATAATTTCTCTTCCTTCTAATGTCCATTTTGGAATTCATATGTTGACAATTTGGAATATGTTTTGCAAAAGTTCAAATATATTTTTGGTTCACATATTTTATTATTAATTTTTAATTACATAATTAAATACCCAATCGTTTATATAACTAAATTGAGAATT